GACAATGCTAGTTAAAGACAATGCTAGTTAAAAACAATGCTAGTTAGACAATGCTAGTTAAACAATGCTAGTTGAAGACAATGCTAGTTAAAGACAATGCTAGTTAAACAATGCTAGTTAAACAATTCTAGTTAGACAATGCTAGGTAAAGATAATGCTACTTAATGACAATGCTAGTTAAAGACAATGCTAGTTGAAGATAATGCTACTTAATGACAATGCTAGTTAAAGACAATGCTAGTTAAAGACAATGCTAGTTGAAGACAATGCTACTTAAAGACAATGCTAGTTAAACAATGCTAGTTAAACAATTCTAGTTAGACAATGCTAGTTAAAGACAATGCTAGTTAAAGACAATGTTAGTTAAAACAATGCTAGATAGACAATGCTAGTTGAAGACAATGCTAGTTAACGACAATGCTAGTTGAAGACAATGCTAGTTAAACAATTCTAGTTAGACAATGCTAGTTAAAGAGAATGCTAGTTAAAGACAATGCTAGTTAAAGATAATGCTACTTAATGACAATGCTAGTTAAAGACAATGCTAGTTGAAGACAATGCTACTTAAAGACAATGCTAGTTAAACAATGCTAGTTAGACAATGCTGCTTAAAGACAATGCTAGTTAAAGACAATGCTAGTTAAAGACAATGCTAGTTAAACAATGCTAGTTAAACAATTCTAGTTAGACAATGCTATTTAAAGACAATGCTAGTTAAAGACAATGCCAGTTAAAAACAATGCTAAATAGACAATGCTAGTTAAACAATGCTAGTTGAAGACAATGCTAGTTAAAGACAATGCTAGTTAAAGACAATGCTAGTTGAAGACAATGCTAGTTAAACAATTCTAGTTAGACAATGCTCGTTAAAGATAATGCTAGTTAAAGACAATGCTAGTTAAAGATAATGCTACTTAATGACAATGCTAGTTAAAGACAATGCTAGTTGAAGACAATGTTAGTTAAAGACAATGCTAGTTAAACAATGCTAGTTAGACAATGCTGCTTAAAGACAATGCTAGTTAAAGCCAATGCTTGTTAAAGACAATGCTAGTTAAAGACAATGCTAGTTAAACAATTCTAGTTAGACAATGCTCGTTAAAGATAATGCTACTTAATGACAATGCTAGTTGAAGACAATGCCTGTTAAAGACAATGCTAGTTGAAGACAATGCTAGTTGAAGACAATGCTAGTTAAAGACAATGCTAGTAAAAGACAATGCTAGTTAAACAATGCTAGTTAAACAATTCTAGTTAGACAATGCTAGTTAAAGATAATGCTAGTTATACAATGCTAGTTTAAAACAATGCTAGTTGAAGACAATACTAAAGACAATGCTAGTTGAAGAAAATGCTAGTTAAAGACAATGCTAGTTGAAGACAATCCTATTTAAAGACAATGCTACTTAAAGACAATGCCAGTTAATCAATGCTAGTTAAACAATTCTAGTTATACAATGCTGCTAAAAAGACAATGCTAGTTAGACAATGCTAGTTAAAGACAATGCTAGTTAAAGACAATGCTAGTTAAAGACAATGCTAGTTCAAGCAATGCTAGATAGACAATGCCAGTTAAACAATGCTAGTTAAAGACAATGCTAGTTAGACAATGCTAGTTAAAGACAATGCTAGTTAAAGACAATGCTAGTTAAAGACACAGCTAGTTAGAAAATGCTAGTTAGACAATGCTAGTTAAAGACAATGCTAGTTAGACAATGCTAGTTAAACAATGCTAGTTGAAGACAATGCTAGTTAAAGACAATGCTAGTTGAAGACAATGCTAGTTAAAGACAATGCTAGTTAAACAATGCTAGTTAAACAATTATAGTTAGACAATGCTAGTCAAAGATAATGCTACTTAATGACAATGCTAGTATAAGACAATGCTAGTTGAAGACAATGCTAGTTGAAGACAATGCTAGTTAAAGACAATGCTAGTATAAGACAATGCTAGTTAAACAATGCTAGTTGAAGACAATGCTAGTTAAAGACAATGCTAGTTGAAGACAATGCTAGTTAAAGACAATGCTAGTTAAACAATGCTAGTTAAACAATTCTGGTTAGACAATGCTAGGTAAAGATAATGATACTTAATGACAATGCTAGTTAAAGACAATGCTAGTTGAAGACAATGCTAGTTTAAGACAATGCTAGTTGAAGACAATGCTAGTTAAAGACAATGCTAGTTGAAGACAATGCTACTTAAAGACAATGCTAGTTAAACAATGCTAGTTAAACAATTCTAGTTAGACAATACTAGTTAAAGACAATGCTAGTTGAAGACAATGCTAGTTAAAAACAATGCTAGATAGACAATGCTAGTTAAACAATGCTAGTTGAAGACAATGTTAGTTAAAGACAATGCTAGTTAAAGACAATGCTAGTTAAAGACACAGCTAGTTAGACAATGCTAGTTAGACAATGCTACTTAAAGACAATGCTAGTTAAACAATGCTAGTTAAACAATGCTAGTTAAAGACAATGCTAGTTAATGACAATGCTAGTTAGACAATGCTAGTTAAACAATGCTAGTTGAAGACAATGCTAGTTAAAGACAATGCTAGTTGAAGACAATGCTAGTTAAAGACAATGCTAGTTAAACAATGACATTTAAAAAATTATAGTTAGACAATGCTAGTTAAAGATAATGCAACTTAATGACAATGCTAGTATAAGACAATGCTAGTTAAACAATGCTAGTTGAAGACAATGCTAGTTAAAGACAATGCTAGTATAAGATAATGCTACTTAATGACAATGCTAGTTAAAGACAATGCTAGTTAAAAACAATGCTAGTTAGACAATGCTAGTTAAACAATGCTAGTTGAAGACAATGCTAGTTAAAGACAATGCTAGTTAAACAATGCTAGTTAAACAATTCTAGTTAGACAATGCTAGGTAAAGATAATGCTACTTAATGACAATGCTAGTTAAAGACAATGCTAGTTGAAGATAATGCTACTTAATGACAATGCTAGTTAAAGACAATGCTAGTTAAAGACAATGCTAGTTGAAGACAATGCTACTTAAAGACAATGCTAGTTAAACAATGCTAGTTAAACAATTCTAGTTAGACAATGCTAGTTAAAGACAATGCTAGTTAAAGACAATGTTAGTTAAAACAATGCTAGATAGACAATGCTAGTTGAAGACAATGCTAGTTAACGACAATGCTAGTTGAAGACAATGCTAGTTAAACAATTCTAGTTAGACAATGCTAGTTAAAGAGAATGCTAGTTAAAGACAATGCTAGTTAAAGATAATGCTACTTAATGACAATGCTAGTTAAAGACAATGCTAGTTGAAGACAATGCTACTTAAAGACAATGCTAGTTAAACAATGCTAGTTAGACAATGCTGCTTAAAGACAATGCTAGTTAAAGACAATGCTAGTTAAAGACAATGCTAGTTAAACAATGCTAGTTAAACAATTCTAGTTAGACAATGCTATTTAAAGACAATGCTTGTTAAAGACAATGCCAGTTAAAAACAATGCTAAATAGACAATGCTAGTTAAACAATGCTAGTTGAAGACAATGCTAGTTAAAGACAATGCTAGTTAAAGACAATGCTAGTTGAAGACAATGCTAGTTAAACAATTCTAGTTAGACAATGCTCGTTAAAGATAATGCTAGTTAAAGACAATGCTAGTTAAAGATAATGCTACTTAATGACAATGCTAGTTAAAGACAATGCTAGTTGAAGACAATGTTAGTTAAAGACAATGCTAGTTAAACAATGCTAGTTAGACAATGCTGCTTAAAGACAATGCTAGTTAAAGCCAATGCTAGTTAAAGACAATGCTAGTTAAAGACAATGCTAGTTAAACAATTCTAGTTAGACAAGGCTAGTTAAAGAGAATGCTAGTTAAACAATTCTAGTTAGACAATGCTAGTTAAAGACAATGCTAGTTAAAGACAATGCTAGTTAAAGACAATGCTGTCCCTCGCCGTTTCGCGCAAAGCGAAGTGTTGTGCCGGTGAGTGATTTGCCTTGAAAGTGAACGCGGACGATACGTGTACGGCAATAGTCGCCCACACGGCTGGGTAAAGGCGCAGCCCCTGGAATTCCATGCTCACGCCGCCGCTGCCGCTGCTCCTGTGGAAGAGCCCCCCAGCCCCCCCGAGAGGTCTCCTACCTGTTTTGTTTTCTTTTCCGCGCCGGCCCAGATGCTTTGGAATCGTCGGCGGCAACAGGCGCAGTGTCCTCCACAGCCACCACAGCCACCACCAACACCGCCACCACAGCCACCACCACTACCACCACAGCCACCACCAACACCGCCACCACCAACACCGCCACCACAGCCACCACCACTACCACCACAGCCACCACCAACGCCGCCACCGCCACCACCACCACGGCCGCCACCACCAACACCTCCACCACAGCCACCACCACAGCCACCACCACCACTACCGCCGCCACCACCACCGCCACCACCACCACTACCGCCACCACCACAGCCACCACCAACACCACCACCGCTACCACCACCACTACCGCCACCACCACCGCCACCGCTACCACCACCACCGCCACCACCACCACCGCTACCACCACCGCCACCACCACCACCGCCACCACCGCCGCACGCGACCTGCCGATGGACTTCGGTGCGGTGTCACCCATCCACGATGCCGGGAGGACCGATGCCACGGCGTTACAAATGCCGCACGCGCCGGATTTCAACTCCCGCTGTTGTCGACCGCCACGGCGACCCGGCCAACCCCCCCCACCACCCCTACCCCCACCCCTACCCCCACCACCCCTACCCCCACCACCCCTACCACCCCCACCACCGTGGCAGCAACAGTGAGACGACTCAAATGAAAGGCTTCCCAATTAATTTCCACCGGCGCCTTTGCAAGTCTCCCCCGAACGACGGCGAGACGCACGAAGGGTGGCGCAAGCGACGACGCCGATTCCGACGACACCGACGCCGTCCCTTGCGTGCGCGTGCGTGCGTGCGCGTGCCGGAGAGACGAGCGACTTCTTACCGTGGCCTCGTGACGGGGACCGGCCCTCTCTCTGTCTCTCTGTCTCTCTCTTGACGCTCATCCCACTCGCATGCTCCTCGCAGCAGCCACCCCCCACCCCACCCTCCCTCCCATGCGCGCCGTGGACGGGAGTGTGGCGGTGCGCGGGTGATTACCCGGCTGAGTCTCCCTCCACTCGCCTGGCTACGCTGTCTCCGCAGAAGGGGCCACGATGTGGAGCCACGGGGGCAGCAGCAGGAGCAGCAGCAGCAGCAGCAGCCAGCAGGAGTAGCAGCAGCAGCAGCCAGCAGCAGCAGGAGCAGCAGGAGTAGCAGCAGGCGCTCACATCGATTGGCTTCCCGCAAGCGCTCGAATCATGTGCGCTGCTGAGCACGAGCATGTACACACACACATACACTCACACGTGTACACACACGCACACGTGTACACACTCACACTCACACGTGTAGACACACACACGCGTGTACACACACACACTCACACGTGTAGACACACACACGCGTGTACACACACACACTCACACGTGTACACACACACGTGTACACACACACTCACACGTGTATACACACACACACTCACACGTGTACACACACTCACACGTGTACACACACACACTCACACGTGTACACACTCACACTCACACGTGTATACACACACGTGTACACACACACACGCGCGTGTACACACACACACACACACGCGCATGTACACACACACACTCACACGTGTACACACACACGCGCGCATGTACACACACACGCGCGTGTACACACATGCGCGTGTACACTCACACGTGTACACACACACGGGCATGTACACACACACGCGCATGTACACACACACACGCGCATGTACACACACACACACATGTACACACACACTCACACGTGTACACACACACACACACGCATGTACACACACACTCACACGTGTACACACACACGCATGTACACACACACACTCACACGTGTACACACACACGCATGTACACACACACTCACACGTGTACACACGCGCGCGCGCTGAGCTCGTGCACATGTGTGTGTACATGCGCGCGTGTGTGTACATGTGTGAGTTTGTACACGTGTGAGTGTGTGTGTACATGTGTGTGTGTACACGTGTGAGTGTGTGTGTACACATGTGTGTGTGTACACGTGTGTGTGTACACGTGTGAGTGTGTGTGTACATGTGTGTGTATACACGTGGCACGGCACACGAGGGGGTGGGTGGCCAGGCACCACTCCCGGCCGCCTTTGTCTCCCCAGTGCTGATGTGTACACACCGTGCCAAATACTCATTTAAGGCCGAGTCGACCTAGGGGAGGACTCAGAAGTATATATTATAAATCAGTTCCTCGTGTCTTGCATTATTTGGAGAGTCTCACTGTTCACGGCGATATGAATGTGTCATTTCCGATACTGGAAACTATCCCAAGCGTGTAAATGCTCGTTCGATTTTCCGAGACACCGTGACTTTGACTTTCCTTTCTATTTTAAACCGCTGCATGAATAAGTAAAGCAGCCTGTGGAGTGATTGCGCGCGTACATATCTTGATATTGATAAGAGCTAAATATTTCATGGATAATGGAATTTAACACAATTACGATTTCGGAGTGAGAGCGAGAGAGAGAGAGGCAGGCACGTTGCCCACGATGTAAAGTCGCAGCGGATGGCAGGGCAGAGCTTCGCACTTTCGTGCACGAGGGTTCGATTCCACGTTCCGATCGTCGGCAGGTCGCGAGCGGTGGGGTCAAGCGCGGATTTCCTCCCAACATTTCTGGCCGGTTTGATGCGCAGTTTCAGTTTCGTTCATTTGGTATAGCCCCGTGAGCCATTCGGCTCTTGAGTCGGGGTGCAAACGCAACAAACAAAAACTAAAAACACGAACAAGAACACATCTTAAAGTGACTATGTGTGACTGCGCAAACAGAAACGTCCAGGAAAAAAAACCCCAGCAAAGTCTTCGAGAAAAAGCACCGTACATCAACGCTGTGTGCAAAAAATCGCAGTGGGATGCAAGTCAAACAACAACAACAACCACAAGACAACTTACGTTAAGGCCATCAGTCTAACGCCGTACTACAACAAACAAACATGGCCAAACTAAAAAAAACGTTTTCGAAATCACCAAAATAAAGCCATAAAATCAATGTAACAGTGGTCACAGGAACTGTGACCGAATTTTCACAATAAACGACATAAACAACATGTACCACCAAACCCTGTAGCCATAGCTGGCTGCATCAAGTCACTCCACAACAGCAGGAGCATCAGTAGGCGTATCAACATTTTTTAAATGCACCTTTAAAAAAGTTTAGGCTTTCGCGACCGATATGATCTATTATGCAGGGTGTTTCAAGAAAATGTTAACACTTACATGGGACTATCGCTTTTAATGGACAAAGAACGGATCATAGACTGTAACATGATAACAAGTGTATGTTAATAGCTTTAAGAAGTCAGAGTCTCCACTTTTTCGCCATCGTTGTCAACACACGCCTGGAATCTTATCCAGGTGGTCTACAGAGCCCGTAGACACATTTCTTGTGGCATTGTTGCAAATTCTCCGAAGTGTTAACATTATTTTGAAGCACCCTGAATCGGTAAATATTGTGGATTTGCTTGCCAACACACAACCGGTGTGCTCTACTGGTAACTAATTGGCACGTTCTGTTTACGTGACAAACCCCTTACGAATTGGCTGTTTTGGGTAGTGGCGAGTTTCACGTTACATTGATATTTACACGATCTAGCCCCCCCCAAAAAACCCCTATACAGTAAAGCCTTGGATTGCGAGCATAATTCGTTCCGGAAACGTCTTTGTAATCCAAAGCACTCGTATATCAAAGCACTCGTATATCAGTTGTGATCACGTGACGCTCAGCAGACAAAGCGTACACGTACACTACTCGTATTGCAAGACCCTCGCTCGTTTATCAAATTAATATTTATTTACAAATGTTTGCTCGTCTTGCAAAACACTCGCAGACCAAGTTACTCGCAATCCAAGGTGTTTACTGTATTATGGATGGAGGAGGAGGCCAGATTACCCCCTCTCCACAGGGGCTCTGCCGAGTTTCCCTCCAATGGGTCGGCACTTGGCGCCAGCGAGCTGCGAAGTGAGCAAGCCATTGCAGGGCTGCACCTTTCACTCTTTAAAGAGGTCGCGAAATCGCCGAGCTCCTGGAACGCCTGCTAAAGCTGGACGTTGCATCGCTCCGCGCAGTAACGTTGACGCGGGACTTCGTTTTAAAGAGGCCGCAAGAGGTGTCGTGTCCAAAAACGAGCAACTCGGCGATTTCTCATGTTTACGAAGAAAAAAATTATCGTTTTATTTTACTAATCAATTATTATTATTATTTACCAAGAGGGATTCTGGGTGTTCTGTCATCGTAAAGCCACCTTCGCCCCTTCACCCACTGCTGTCCCCGCACACCCACCCAGACTACGGCCACCCCGACTACGGCCACCCTGACCACCGATACCCCGTCTACGGCCACCCCGACCACCGCCAACCCGATCACCGCCACCCCGTCTACGGCCACCCCTACTACGGCCACCCCGTCTATGGCCACCCCGACCACCGCCAACCCGACCACCGCCACCCCGACCACCGCCACCCCGAACACCACCACCACTTACCCAGACCACTACTACCATCCAGACCACCAACATCCAGACTGGCCCAAACCCAGTGTTCGTGTGGGGAGGGGGGAATGGGCAGGGCCTAAACAGAGCGAGGGCGGGGTCTAATGAAGAAGGGGGCGGGTCCCAAAAAGGAAAGGCGCGGAGCCGGAAGAGGGCAGCGGGGTGGGGGTGGGGCTAATCAGGAAGGGGTGGGGCCCAATCAGGAAGGGGTGGGGCCTAAGTAGTAAGGAGGCATGGCACAAAGAGGAAGAGGCAGGGCTTAGAGGTTGAACCTCACTGTTAATTTAAAAGTAATAAAAGCATCATAATCAAATACCTGCAACAGGAAACATCTCAGCTATCGTGGCGCAGATGCGCCCACAGGCCGACTCGCCATTATCTCGATCCCCAATCGAGATAATGGCTTCCGTGTCACAGGGACGGAGTGTTCAATTGAAACTTGAGCACAGCAAATGCGATCCCTCTCCCCCCCCTCGCCCCCCACGTATATAAGAGAACGCTCCAAGGAAGCTGGCAATGGCAGAGATGCCCCTTGAGATCCCATCCAATGGTGACCTCTGGTCCTCCGTAGGAAGTGGCCAGCACTCAGCCACTCCACTCCGCCACATGAGAGCACCGTTCAATGCACGATAGTCAAACCGATGTGTTCAATTCTCACGGATGGAATTTGGCCACGTAATAGCGTTGAACCAAATGAACACATTCCTGCGGAGGGAGCTGGTAGGAACGTTGGGTTGCTCGGTCAATGGCCAGGGTCAACGGCGGCACCACGTGGTGTATTCCGCAAATATGCCCGACTGTGAGGGCGGGCACAAGCCGGCGTGAGTAGGTGAAACGTTGAGTTTTATAAGGGCACCACGGGGTGACCAGCCCCTCCCCACCCAGCCCCACCCATCCCACCCCCCACCCACCCTCCCCTCCCTCCCATCCCCACCCAGCCCCTCCCCACCCTCCCCTCTCCACCCAGCCCCACCCTCCCCACTCAGCCCCTCCCCACCCTCCCCACCCCAGCCCCACCCTCCCCACTCAGCCCCTCCCCACCCTCCTCTCCCCACCCAGCCCCACCCTCCCCACCCAGCCCCTCCCCACCCTCGCCACCCAGCCCCACCCCTCCCATTTTTGGATGCACGACGGACGGACACAATAATCCCCTGTGGGCTGGTGGTGTAACCACGAGGTTCCTACCAGTATTATTTTGTGTGTGTTTGCAGTCATTTGGTAGCCAGGCTAAGACCATCACCCGAGAACCTTGCCCAAATGCACACCGAGTGCCAGACATTCTCCTCCACACGTTACAGAATTATAAAAGAAAGTCTCTATAATGAAACGGCCACAATATAATTACCCGGACCCCGTGTGTATCATGCCCGGCAATGTTAACCAAGGGCATGGCGGCCAGGCCAGCAAATGTACGAAATAATTGCAGGGTGGCCCAAAAGTCAGGACACATAGGGTTATTTAATGTATTATAACACTGACATTAAAAGTGTTAAATTGTTTATGCTTTAAGTATGATCTCCTTCGTTACCTAAAAATGCGTCGTTTACATAACTCGTCCAAGAACCCCGTGAATCGGTTAAGACAAAAAAAAACATACGCTTGATGAATGTTCAGTGATGACACACACCTATAATTCCTTTATTTTTGTTTAAAGTCCTAGAGTCACTTCGAAAACAATGCGCGCGTCACGCATTCAC